CCCTTAGGCACCTGATTATGAATGCCAATCATAATAAGAGTCATCACCATCACCCTCGGTTTGTTTTGCTGCACTGGCATCAGCTATCTGCAGAACACACTATCCCACCCCATCCCCCAACACCATTATATTTGCACAACCCACTAACCTCCGCCTATAATAGAGAGCCTTCGTCCGAGGAAGAGGAGATGAAGGAGAGGAAGTGTGGAAATCCAGCGAGACATGAACAGAAGCACCCCTTCCTTATAGCACATGGAAAGTCTCCCTTTGATGTTAAATGCATAAGGGGGGGGGGAGTTCTGATGCCAATATTAATTCAATAATATGGGGGTGTCGCTAAATAATGTAAGAGCAGTATAAGGTGATTAGTTATGCTGCTCGTACACAGTGGGCTTCAGATATAAAGTAGCTAATGTTGATTAGTTAAGCTGCTTCCTCTTTCTCTTTGAAACTAAAACAACTGTCCTGGGTTAAGTCTGAAGCTGCTTCAGCTATGGAGAGCTGTTTTTATTCAATCGATTCAATTCAGATCATTCACTTAGAAACAATTCACTAAAAATTATACCAACAGACATTTTACAAACAGGCCCAATTCCTATTGGTACGGTCCAATCATAGAGTCCAGTTTAGTCTTAAGAGTCAAACTGACTAAACTGTGCAGTTTTCATATGTTGTATACAAAACAAAATCCTTAAGGTCAGTTTGTTAAAGAAACTAATTTATCGTTGCTTCAAATTGCATAGACTAAAGCCCTTTGCATACTTACGAATACCCAATAATTAACTGGATCAATTATATGTGTAAATAAAATACCTAGTATTATACCAACTAATTAACTGGGGCCATTCTAGTGTGAATAAAGCAAGTTAAGGCATTCATTTGCATGTTTATCCGAAGACTTCGTAGTGAAGCTACCCAATAATGACCCCTGCTACATGTTTGTTAACCTTTGGAACAACAGCGTGCCTGACGAATGGGTTGGCAACGTTTTATCAAGCAAGCAGCCAAGTTTTTAATGATGGCTGGAAACTTGTTGGACCTAAAAAAAGAAGATTTTCTCTGCCTGCGTGGAGTGTAATAGGACAGTAGCTGTTTAAATCTTTCCCTGGTGTCTACCACTTGCTTCTCTGTAAAATGCACTAAGATGAATGAATGAATTTCTTCTGTAGATTTCTTCATAAAGCTACTAACCACTGTAAGAAACACTGATCCGCTTTTACTAATCAGCTGTTTGACGGACATGCTTTCAATCTAAAATTCCTCTTTAGAGGTTAGCTTGATCAGTTAAAGCTATATCCCCTGTATTACCGCCACCTGCAGGTGATGTTAGGTAAATCAATCACATCAAGCTGTTAAAAAGCTAAACAGACAGGTACTGGGACTGGATTGCATTTATGACACACATTAAATAAAATTTGGACTGAGATCCCAGGCAATTTACTGGGACTTACGTGTGAAAGGGGCTTAAGACTATGAATTCTGAGAATACAGAAATGCCTTGGAATGATATTATGGCTTTGAAAACTTATTATATTTTAACAATTAACATCCAAGTTACATTGAGCCAATTGTCTTGATCAAGCCTATTTGTCCTGTCATGCAAAGGACTATGGGCAACTGTATAGCGGCAGCTCTTGAAGTCAGGAGGTCCTAATGCTAATTGAATTGGCACTAGGGAGCATACTGTTCTGGTCCTAGCTCCTTGTAACTGCCATCACTATTCAGATAGAACTTATTATGGGGGCCGTCGAAGATCTTCCCCCACAGCTGAAGTATTGAGATCCTGCCAATATCTCTAAACAGCCAGTTTGCAAAAACACTCCTGGAGAAAGACCTTTATTTAGATATGCCATGGGAACAGAAAAGAGGTTTGATTTGACAAGATGATCTTGTGATTCATGATTTCTGATCGGGAGCTCGTGTTTCGGTGCCAATCAACTCTCGTGACCCCCTTGTATTCTGCACGACACACAACACGAGATTTTACCAAGATTCCGCCTGATCCACAAATCGTCCTAAAAACGTCCAATAATCGCACAGTGCATGCAGCGCGTAACCAATACCTCCAAGCTGTTCACAAAACTAATCAAGGACATTGTTTTGGTGTGCCCATTACAAAGCCCTAATCTTAACAGTAGAGAAATGGATGGAGAGGTGAAAAAGATGTGTGAAAGAAGTGGTCAACAAACCTGACCAACTTACATCAGCTCTGTGAGGAATGGGACAAAATTCCAGCAAACTGATTGAAGGAAACCCAAAACATTTGAACCACATTCAGTCCTTTTACCCCTTGGTTCCACTGGAAGTGCTTTCAGAGCCGAGCGACTGCATGGTTGGACTCAGATCACATCAGTACTGGATTATCATGTTATATAGTGTACTTGTATGCTTTAAATAGAACAATAAACCAGTAAAGTGTTTATTTTGCCAGTACTAAAAGCAACTTTTGTGACTGCTTTTATCCAATAACCTCATCATTTTTCCTTTGGATATATTGTTGAACTCTTTGTGAGTGAAAATATTTAGTTAATTTTAGTTATTTTTTAATTCTATGGTCATATTTATTATCGCTGTTTACTCACTGTATGAACAAAATGTATTAATTACTAAAACTTTAGAAAATGTAATCCAGTCTGCAAATGTTTTCTCTTACTTGTGAACTCGACCGGATCCACTTTTTTTCCCATCAACTGACTTCCTGCCAGTATGATCTGCTTTGCTATAGACTGTCACAGAGATCGAGTATAAAAATAAAACAGGTTCCTATTTTAAAGAAGCGGTTACACGCTCAGAAACTGCCGCAACTGGAGCCACTCTGACTATAATGTCTGCAATCAGGAGCGACTGCGATCAGGAGCGATCGCATACAGTAGAACCATGGAACCGGGAGGTTATTATTTCAGAGGGTAAAAAATTTTTACAGTTGTGGTCCATTTTATACAGCAAATCTAAACATTTGGTTCCTAAGAAATTTGGATTTAATTCATGCAACATAAAATCATTTAAATTGGATCTTGCTGTTGTGCACTGCTAGGTAGTTGACAAAAAAATAAACAAAACCAATATTTGGCTTATAGCTATAAAATCCCAAAGCACAATTGAAGATTTTTCGGGCTATATTGGAAATTTATTTCAAAATCTTCCATTAGTGTTTCTCTCATTTAAGCTTCATCTAATGAAGATACCCGAAAATATGCCAATCAGCTGGCTAATCGAGAACTTTTAGCCAGCGTTTAAAATTATATAAGCATCAATCATCATTCCTCCTAAAGGTACAACAGTTTATACAAAAGGTAATATACAATGATAGAAGCTCTTGATAAAAATGAAAGTGTAAACAAAGTGATAATGTCAAAATGTATTATCTTAACTTGTGGTTATAATACCATGATAAACATACCGAACCATTCTTTAGTCTATGTATGACGTCAGCATAATCTGTCTCAAGAAGCCGAGCTAATTGCATTGAGTTATTGACTTTACAAAGAGGTTAAGATTTAATTTTAAAAGCAGCCCCAATGGTGTAGAAGCACAATAAATGCTTAAAATATTTCATGTTTATGACAAAAATAAGGTGGCAGTTGTTGATGTAGTTCAGTAAGACTTGTTTTCACTGTTCATAACTTATTTACATGCGTTTCCAGGGTTCGTTTATTTCCACCCTGCAAAGTGAGTCAGGTACTGCATTTAAACAGCCTACAGCCAGGAAGTCTGTGCAAAAGGCTCATTGCATTATTAATAAAATAAAAAATCTTTTATGTTCAACTAATATTCATAAACACTTAAATTCAGTATGTAAGTATATTCATTTCTTTTCAAGGGTTATGGGTTGTTTATTCCTGCTGAAGCAGGTCAATTTTCTCCTTATTAGTCTGAAACTCATTTTTTTCCTGCTATATGTACCATCTCCTTTGAACATTCAAGCTACAATTGGAGAAGACAATTTCTGGTAATATGAAATCATGTTTTTCTGAGCAAATAGAGATTAACCTGCTGCTCATCAACAGTAACATGTAGATTATTGTTGTGAACTCATAAACATTCTTAAATGTAAATTATTTATGTAGCATCAGGGAGGGGCTGCCTAGTGAGAGCGACTTTGCCTATGAATTGCATTAGACTGACCTTTTTTGCACTCGTTTAACAAAACAAGGTCTGCAGGAGCAAAGAAAATATGAACCATTATGCTTGTGCTCCCTCTGCAATGTTTTCATGATTGTCAGTGTGCAGAGCCATTACCAGCCTTCAAGGTTTTACTGTTACAGGATTTGCAAGTCAGCTGCTTAGTTAAATGCATGAGACATGAGGAAGTACCTGTCTGGTCTGGATTAAAGTATTACTGGTCCATTATTCTGCAAGTCCATCCATCCTAATCATTTAGGAACAGACATGGGCAATCACAAAGCAGGCAAAAGAAAATGTGTATTTTGTTTAGAAATAAATAAAGTCTTAGCAAAAAGGTGATTAAAGATAAGAATGTGTAAAATGTCTATTGATTGGTAAACAAATCAGATTTTTGCTTCTCTGTTTATTAAATGCGTCAAAATTGGGATTTTACACCATTTTTGGTATGTAGATATTGCACAAGTGATGTGCTTTCTTATTTAAATAAAAATGCTTATAGCCTATACTTTCACACCACCCCTCACTGACATAAACAGATTTCATCTTTGAATTCCTTCATTTTCTGTTCTGTCTCTCTTATGGGTTATAGCCTATTTAGGAACATGTGCAAATTCACCAAAATTTGTGTCGTGGAAGAAAACCCAGATTATTGCATTTTTTGCACCCTATGAAGAGTATAAATTCACATTAAAATAAAGAAATACGTTTAAAAATGGGGGCTGATTAAAGGTTATTGGATTGTACTTAATAATAGGGAGAATCCTGGTATGTTATATTATATATTAAATGATCTATATTTTCCAGATTTTGTTTTTCTTGACGGTTTCCTCTGACCTAGTTTGAGGCGCCTCGGGGCGCATCGGGGTGTCGCTCACCTGCTGGCGACCTGTCTCTCTCCATGGTCCTGCATCCGCTCGGTGAGCAGAGCTGCTGCGCTCTGCTCGGATCAGCCTCCCTCCGATCGGAAACGACAGATGGATCTTGGCTTTCAAATAGCAACAAAAAAATGTATTCGGAATAGAAATAAAGAAAACAAAAGTTCCTATCCCTGTTTTCCCTACTTCTTTGAGACTTTCTTTGAAGAAATCAAAGCCACATGTGGGGCTTTGAGCTGCAGGACGCGGAACCCTTTCCGTCCACCGTTTCAACCTGCCAAGCAGCAGCCAGAGGGGGCTGCGTGTTTATCTTCCGCTCCTCCAGTGGTCTGCGTGACCCACTTCCACTTCAGCAGCAGGAACAAACATGCATAAACAAGAAGAGGAGCCCATTCATTCACATCGGCGCTCCGCAGGAGTGCAGCTCTGATGTCGGTTGCGCGCTCAAACAAGTCCGCATGCTTTCCTGCTCATATTGAACCCTGTGTTTCTGTCACCGGCTCGTCCGTCCTGCAGGACTTCACAGGTGGGGAGGGCACTGATTTAGATGATGTACCTCTACTGGTCCTACCATTTAGCTCTCTCATTGTTCTCCGTCTCCACCCTCTGGCCAACTACATGCGCTCCATGCGCTCACGTGTCCTGGGTCCTAGCGCCGGGTTACATCAGTCCTTCAATGGATTTTATCTTGTAGGAGAAGAAGCCTCCAGTGGTTCTAGATTAAATTTACAAGGGGGGTCAGGGTTGGGACTACGGAAGCGTATGAGGTCACGGAACAAAAAGAATAATAAAAAAATAAAAATAAAAAATAAAAACAA